CTCTCTCTCTCTCTCTCTCTCTCTCTCTCTCTCTAGCGCGCGCGCGTGCACCCACCCACCCACAGTTCGTGTGAACTCCACGAAAAAAGCACGACTGTGCCAGACTGTTTCGTTGGACCTTCACCAACTCATCAGGAGGTTGAACCCCGACAGTCTGCCCATGATGCATTTGTATGCATGCGTGTGTTCGTGCTTGTGCGTGTGTGCGTGCATGTGCTTGTTCGAGTGGACGGGTGGGCGTTCGTGTGAGTGTGTGCTGTGTGCCGCCAAAGATACGTGGGGGGGCCGAACCACTGAGCTCAAGAGGACACCGTCCCGCCCGGAACCGGTTTCTCCCCACGCCTGGCAGCAACAGCCCAAAACGCCTTGGCCCTCCACAAAAGGAAAACACAGGGCCGTACCGGTAGTCCAAACATTGTGCGGCGAACCAGGCCGTTCGCAGGCCCAACGGCCCTGATTGCCCCACGATCTTGAAGTTTTAAGATCGTGGGGCAATCCAGGCCGTCCGGCTGCTAGGACCGCAAACGGCCTTGATCGCCACGCGATCTTAAAATCTTAAGATTGCGGGGCAATCCGAGCCGTCGGGCCGGTAGGTCCGCGGACGGCCCGGATCCCAAAATTCTCACATTACGAACTTTTATAAGTGTAGGGAAATAAAGGCTGCCTCAAATCGGTAACTGCGGCCCCAAAAGGCCGTGGTCCTCCAGGGCGCAGGCCTCAATGGTGTGCGGCCTGGGCGCCCCCAGCAACCGTTGGGGCCCCCAAACGGGGCCTGTGTGCAGGCTCGGCATGTAACAGGCACGAAGGCCTGAGAGGAAGAGGACAGCGCTGCTTTGCATTGTCTTTTGCATGTCAAGGCAAGGCCCTCAATACTCTGCCATGCAGTAGTAGAAGAGGGATTCGGACATTGATTATGGTTCAGACATTGATTGTTATTATTATTATTGATTATTATTTATTATTATTTATTATTATTTATTGTTTGAATAAGAGGGGAGGAGATAAAGAGGAGTTGATTGGCGAAGAAGGGGAAAATTATCAATGGTCTTTTGCTGGTGTACATCTTTTCTTTTTCTTTCTTTCTCTTCTTCTTCTTCTTTACCTCTCTCTCCTCTCAAGTTCATTCTTTTTTCTTGCAATTGGACGGCATTGCACTTTCTTGTGAATTTGCACTTCGAAATTGGCCAGTATCATAACAATTGTCTGTAATGTGGACTCCTTGCTTCACTCGTTTTCTCTTTACTTATTAAAGCAAGCAGAGGGCCCGACGACATGTCTGGTTGTGGGTCCGGCGAAAATTGTGAGAGCGGGGTGGCACTAGGAGGAGGCGGGAACCGGGCAGTGGGACCGGTGCGGGGTTGAGGCCGAGGCAGAGGAGAGGCCAATGAAATTGCCCACGGCTGGCACTCACGAGGGGCCCACTGGGGCGAAATCCTGAGGTCCGCGCGCAGGTACGCGCGTAGAGAAAAGCTGCACATGAAATGCTGAGGTCCGCGCGTAGAGAAAAGCTGGCCGCGAGCGGGTACGCACGTAGGGAATACCGGGCCGCGGGCGGGTATACCCGCAGGGAATAGCTGGGCGGGCGCGAGTGCAAAAACGGAAGTGAGCCGCGCGCGCGTGTGAATAGTCGTTCGGAGCAGGCTGACGTGCCAGCGGGTAGGCGGGCAGAGAAGATGGCTGTGGGCGGGACGTGGGACAGGATGGCTGCGTGTCAATGTGTTCCTATGGCGAACGGATGGGGCAGAAGTGCACACGAAGAAGAGGCGGTGGGTGAGAGGAAGGGGGAGGGGGCGGTTCATGTGCCCGTGGCTATAAAAGAAGTGATGTGCCGCGAAGGGAACATCAAGCGCTTTCGCCAGACAGTGTGCTTTGGAGTTGGAAGTCACATTGCACATTGCTGTTTGATCAGGTGCTCTACCTGTGATCATGAGTCGTTGGCACGTGCGCCGTGAGTCGCTATAGCCCTGTGATCTTCAATTTGCAAGTGTTTGAGGCTGGCACGTGGGCCGTGAGTTCCTATAGCCCTGTGATCCTCAATTTGCAAGTGTTTGAGGCTGGCATGTGCGCCGTGAGTCGCTATAGCCGCATCATCTAAACTTTGTGAAGTGTTTCGAACTTTAGATGAGGGGAATTTCGACGTGGTTGACATGGCCGACCGAGGTACGTTCTCGAAAACCTCTGTTTGTCCTCTCTCTGTTTCTCTCTCTCTCCCTCTCTCTCTCTCTTTCTCGGTTGATTGATTGATTGATTGATTAATTGATTGGTTGATTGATTGATTGATTGATTGATTGATCAATTGATTGATTGATTGATCAATTGATTGATTGGTTCATTGATTGATTTGTTGATTGATTGATTGATTAGTGGGCGAAGGAAGTCAAGATCAAAAGAAGGAAGTCGGGATCGCAGGAGGGGAATCAAGATCGGAGGAGGGATGACGAAGAGAGTGGGGATCGGAGCACTGATGGGGGAGGAAAGTCGGGATGGGGGAGGAAGACCGAACGGGGATGGATTGATTGATTGATTGTCAGGATGAAAAAGGCAAGTCCGCACAAAGGCAGAAAATGAAAACGGGCAAAGTCAGTGCGGGACGGATGACCGGCAAAGCCTGCGAGCAACTGAATACTAAGAAGAGGGAAGGGGGGGAGGGGAGGGGGGGGGGGGGGGGGGAGAGGGGGGGGGGGGGGGGGGGGGGGGGGGCTTCCGTCGCCTTTCAGAAAGTACGAAATAAATAAGATACAGAGAGAGAGAGAGAGAGAGAGAGAGAGAGAGAGAGAGAGAGAGAGAGAGAGAGAGAGAGAGAGAGAGAGAGAGAGTCTCAACACAGGCACGATCCTTTATATAACAGGGGAGAGAGAAAGAGGGAGGGAGAGAGMGARAGAGAGAGARAAAGAGAGAGAAAGAGAGAAACAATAATAAAATAATTCTGAATTACTTCATTCTGGCCAGGTGTTCTATTCGGGCGCGTCACTTCAATGATGATATCTCAAGGCCGTCGCCCTTTTGAAAAGAACGAGGGAAAACAAAAATAACAATAAAAAATTGTATCCCGTCCGCACTATCATGTTCACCCGAATAGAACGCCCGATCATTATAGCTGTATCTGGTGCAACTTCCGGTTCAGATACAGCGATAATTCCAGGCCGTTCTATTGGGGTGAAGATGGCAGATGAGCATGGGTGGTCGAACGACCGGTCCGTTGCAACTGAGTAACCAGCGACCTATAGCCTCCGACTTTGACATCTGATCTGCCAAGTTTGCCCCTGCAATCGTCAGCAACTCCGAGATCCGCCCTTTCAGACTCTCGCAGCCATTCCAAGGGCAAAAAAAAAAAAACAAAAAAAAAAAAAAAACATTCATCCGCCCAATTCAGACCCACAGTTTTCCTCTTTCGGCACTTACACACGCAGACACGAGGGGATATGCACGCCAATATGTAAGGAGGAATCAGAGGGCGCAGAGAAGGTCGCGCATGCAGGCACACAATGGCAAACAGAGCGGAGAAGCACGAAACAAAGTGCCCCGTGCGTCTGCACTTACTCCGATTGTTTTCTTTCATCTCCAACCGTCGGTCGCAATCATCGCAATCATCAACGACAACAAAAAAAAAAAAAAAAAAAAAAAAAAAAAAAAAAAAAAGCATCGCATCTTCCTCTCACCCCTGCAGCGAAGGACCCTACTGCAACTGCTACCGCATTAAGCAGCGGCTCATTAGGGAGAAGGAGGAGAGACTCAGCTCCATGTCCATCGTCATGGCCATGATTGGCCAAGCTTGGTGAGTTGGTTGCCGTCATCGTTGTCACGCAGACCACACACTGCTGGTGTTATCGATGATGATGAATCCTGAGACGTCCACCTAGCATCACCGCCATAGCCAATCCCTTTCAGCGGCGGCGACGGAGAGGGGTATTCTGAGGCAGCTGGGCTTGACACGAGGCGTCCCATAAGAACAGCCATCTGGCACCCCCCCCCTCACGAAAGCAACGGCTGGGAGGCAGATTTGCAGCCCACCGTGGTGCTGCTGGCCCCCGTGCCATTGCTGACGTCAACAGCAATGGCTGTGGTTTCTGCTGATTGGCAAGTGAAACGGAATATCCAGCCCTGCCGCGACCCCTTTTCCCCACCCGCCCACCCACTCCCAGTTCACCCACCTACCTCTCCTGGATCCTGACGAAC